TGACCGAGTTAAGTACTATGGAGTGACTTCTAGACCTGAACACAACTCATACACTTCATGTAATTCACATAAGTCATGCCAACATCAACAAAATTCTACCCGGACCTAAACAATGGATTACCGAGCGTTTAGACTCCAAAATGAACAAAATATAACAACGGGAGTTAGGCTCAGCCAATCAACATGAAACTTTACCACGTTAAAGAGTATACGAAAACACATAAATTCACCAAGTTTCAGCCCTTAATTCATCCGGGAGCATTTTTAAATAATTTAAACGAAAACAACGCCAAAATATAAAGTTAGTAATTCATATAGCTACACTTCGAATTGTACTCTAATATTTTGACACAACATAGAGTAACAGAAAATAATACATTTCTCAAAGTTTCAGCTCAAAACTCCAAGTGTACGATTTTTAATGTATTTTAAAGATTCTGACCAGAAACCAATTTAATTAATTAAAATAGCTACAGATGGAGTTTCGACTTGAAAATTTTACACGACTTACAAAATCATAACAGGATATCTCGTATAGAATTTCACCACATTCGGACAATCACACGATTTATCTTGAATTAATTACGATTCAACAGCATGCTCGGTTTAGAAAATTCATAACTCATGATATACACATCGAAACAATCTCAAACCAAAACCAATAAATCAATGACAACTCCAAGTACCTATAACTCCAGGATTTCCACGAAAAAAATACCCACGTCCTTCAGATTCAAAATTAATCCGAAGAAACAAAGCGAAACGACAATCTAACATAAACACATAATACATGAATTATTCGCAAACAACATGGCAGCCACATATACACACATATACATCAAAATAATAGTCTAGATAAGTCACTTATTACCGTACTCCGCAGGGGAGACAAGAAACGAGACAAGGACTGGACACAGTTCGGATTTTTGATGGGTTGGGTCAATGCTCCTTCCGGTACCCATCTTGATTTAGTCAACCTTATTTCTTCCTTGGCCCATTCACTCCCTCTATTTTACCAATTTATCCCTTTTTATATTTTCAGCCCAAGACAATTAAGGCCCAATTCACCAAAAACCAAGTCCATCATCACTTTTACTTTCCTTTTCCCTTTCTTCTTTTCTTTTCTTCTCCCGTCGCATTTTCTTCTTCCTTTTTATTCCCGTCACTTTCATCTGCTCCATCTCCTTCATCTGATTTTTATCTTCTCAATTAAGCACAAATCATCCGCATCACACAAATAACCAAAATCTCACATCATCACCCTCGGCGCGACTCACATAGAAATTGGACGGAAACGATGATGGACCTGTTGCGCGATTCGACGGAGACTGGCAG